TCTACAAAGAACAAAAACAAGTTCACAAGAAGAAAACAACCCCATCCAAAAGTGGGCAAAGGACATGAACAGGCACTTTTCAAAATAAGACTATGCAGCCAACACACATATGAAAAAATGCTCATCATCACTGGTCATTAGAGAAATGCAAATCAAAACGTGATAATATCTCACGCCGGTTAGAATGACGATCATTAAAACATTTGGAGACAACAGATGCTGGAGAGGATGTGGAGAAATAGGAAAGTCTTTACACTGTTGGTGAGAGTGTAAATTAGTGCAACCACTGTGGAAGACAGTGTGGCAATTCCTCAAGGATATAGAAACAGAAATACCATTTGACCCAGCAATCCCATTACTGGGTATATACCCAAAGGTATATACCCAAAGGTATAAACCCAAAGGATTATAAATTGTTCTCTTATAAAGACACATGCACACATATGTTCATTGGAGCACTGTTTATAATAGCAAAGACTTGAAACCAACCCAAATGCCCATGAAGGATAGACTAGAAAAAGACAATGTGGCACATATACACCATGGAATACTATGCAGCCATAAAAAATGGATGGGTTCATGTCCTTTGCAGGGACATGGATGAATCTGGAAACCATCATTATCAGCAAACTGACACAAGAACAGAAAACCAAACACCACATATTCTCACTTATAAGTGGGTGTTGAACAATGAGAACACATGGACAGAGGGAGGGGAACATCACACACTGGAGCCTGTTAGGGGGTAGAAGGGGTAGGGGAGGGACAGCAGGGGGTGGGGGGATTGGGAAGGGATAACATTAGGAGAAATACCTAATGTAAGTGATGGGGGATGGATGCAGCAAACCACCATGGCATGTGTATACCTATGAAACCATCCTGCAAGATCTGCATATGTACCCCGGAACTTAAAGTATAACTAAAAAAAAAGATCAGAGGAAAAAATGGTCAAAAGATACACTTCACCAAAGAAAATACAGATGGCAACTAAACATATGAAAACATGCTTAACATCACGTCATAGGGGAACTGCAAATGAAATAAAAATTTAGTTATCACAAACACCTATTAGAATAGCTAAAATAAAACAACTGACAGTATCAAATGCTGACAAGGATGCAGAACAGCAGGAACTCTCATTTGTTGTTGCTGGGAATGGAAAATGGTATAGCTACTCTAGGAAATAGTTCAGCAGTTTGTTACAAAGCTAAACATAGGCTTACCATACACCCTAGAAAATGCACTACTACATATTTACCCAATGGAGTTGAAAACTTATAGCCCACAAAAATCTGTACACAAGGCCAAGGCGGGAGGATTGCCTGAGCCCAAGAGTTCAGGACTAGACTGGGCAATCCACAAAAAGAAAAAAACAAATTCTAGTCATCTAACTGATGTAATCAAAACTTTTCCGGGCTTAGTTTGAGATTCTAAATATACTTTTCTCTATACTGTGTTTGAAAAATATTGCAAAACTTTTACACTTTCAGAAGACTAAAAAGCTCTATTTCAGTATTACTGTCTAATTTTTAAAATTCACGAACATCTCATAAATGTAGTAGAGAAAGAACACGGGAGCTAGATGCAGTGGTTCATGTCTGTAATCCTTGTGCTTTTGGAGGCTAAGGCAGGAAGATCAATTGAGACGAGGAGTTCATGACCAGCTTAGGCGACAAGGCAAGATTGTATCTCTACAAACACTAAAAAAAATTAGCCAGGTGTGATGCCTCGTGCCTGTAGTCCTAGCTACTTAATCAAAGGGCTGAGGTGAGAGGATCACTTGAGCCCAGGAGTTCAAGGCTGCAGTGAGCTGTAATTACATTACTGTGCTCCAGCCTGGGTGACAGAGTGAGACCCTCTCAAAACAAAACAAAAGAACAGGAGATCTGTCCAGATTCAATGAAATATTCAAATTAACTTCTCTGAACTTCAATTTCCAGTTCCTTAAATTATCAGTAAGTAAGCTCTAAGATCCCATCCAGTTCTAAGATTTTATGTTTCTAAGAGTTGATTATCTTGATTTTTTAAATCATTTAACTATAATTTATTGACTGACTTCTAATGTGCACTGAACAGAAATATAGAAGAACTCTACTAAAACAAGAAACTTGGCTGGGTGTAGTGGCTCACACCTGTAATCCCAGCACTTTGGGAGGCCAAGGCAGGCGGATCATGAGTTCAGGAGATCGAGACCATCCTGGCCAACGTGGTGAAACCCTGTCTCTACTAAAACACAAAAATCAGCTGGGCATGGTGGTGCGTGCCTGTAGTCCCAGCTACTCGGGAGGCTGAGGGAGGAGAACTGCTTGAACCTGGGAGGCAAGGGTTGCGGTGAGCCAAGTTCATGCCACTGTACTAAGCCTAGTGCCTGTGGACAGAGCAAGAATTTGTCTAAAAAAAAAACGGAAAACTTTTACAAAGTTAGATTCAACTGCAAATAAGGTCCTATTGAGGGGCTTATTAAAAATAAAATATTTTAGGAATGCAATATTTTGAAATTTTATCTTTTTTTTTTTTCTATTAGGAATACAATTTACTATCCTAAATTGTCAAGAATACAATTAGAATACAGTTTAATTTTCTTTTTTGAGGCAGAGTTTCACTCCGCCCAGACTGGAGTATAATGGCACAATCTCGGCTCACTGCAACCTCTGTCTCCTGGGTTCAAGCGATTCTCCTGCCTTCAGCCTCTCAAGTAGCTTGGATTATAGGTGCTCGTTACCATGCCTGGCTAATTTTTGTATTTTTATTACAGAAGGAGTTTTTCCATATTGGCCAGGCTGGTCTTGAACTCCTGGCCTTGAGTGATCTGCTTGCCTTAGCCCACTTTTGCTTGCATTACAAGTGAGCCACCATGCCTGGCTTAATTTTCTAAAGTAAACTGAATATATTGAAATATTCACTGTCTAAACATAATGACATCAAAATTAAAATAATTTCTTAATATTTCTGAGAGCTCTTGTCTTTTAAAATATATGAATTTAATTGTCATAGTTATAAAATAATTTAAAATGTATTGAATCTCAACTATCCTAAATAATTATTAACTAGAATTACCAACAATCACTCTACTATTCTGTGATATAGGACCTATTATTATCACCATTTTATAGAAAAAGCAGCTGAGTTTCATTGCTCAAAATTATAAGGTTATCATTTATTGAGCACTTACCATAGTAAGGCACTACGCTAAAAGGGTTTTACTTGTTTTATCTAACCTTTTCAACAGCTGTGATTCAGTTACTTGTTCCAATTTACATATAGGACAGGCTGATAAGTAACTTTCCCAAGATTACAAATATGCTGAGTGGCTGAGCAAGAACTCAACCCTACATGTGTTGATTTCAAAGTCGTACTCTATCATGACAATAGGAACATTTTCAAGGCATTAGAGAAAGCTCTCTTCTTATTCTATTAGTCAATAATCCATAGCTTTAAATCTTTTTCTGGATAGGTTAACAAATTAAAGATGTTAAAAGAAACTATTCCTTCCCTTTTGTTTTCAACTTTTCCTGGTTGAAATTTAATTAGAAGCAGTACCCTAACATACAAAAAGCTCTGTCTCCAACACCACCCAAAAGCTAGAGCTCTAACTATGCAGGCACTGTAGCTATTGAGAAAACATTAGGTAGAACAGAGTAAGAAGTGGTGTTTATGAAGGAGTTGTAAAAACTGTCAATAGCTTAGGGGTAAGAATTCCACATATTCCCAGTTTCCTGACAGGTACCCTGATTCCACTGCAAGTTACCCTTCACTAGTCTAATTTTTTTTTACTTTATTGACTTTTACACACTTACTCTGAAATTTCATCAGTAAAATTTTCATTGACATTAATAAACCCTTTTTAAAAAAAAAAAAAGATAAAAACTTTGGCGAGAACATCAGCCATTAACAAATTTGTATACATTTATGTAAAGATAGATTTCTTCCTTTAAAACGAGTTAAAAAGAGTACCCTAAGGGAGTAAAAAGTTTTACTTGGAGATGAGAAAGCAAGTACCTCTGAGACTGAAGAACTTAGAGGGATTCAGCAGGCCTGCACTAGATGCAGCAGTGCAAAACCCAGGAAGAATGACTGCCCTACATTATGTACACTAGTTAAGGGTTGGGGGGTATGTTGATAGAGGATCTACTGAAGAATTTTGCCCATATTGAGATTCTGCCAATGGAATAAAGATAACTTTATTTTCTACTGACTTCTGGGAATGAAAATCTACGAGTTAAAAAAGCTTTTTGTGGTTACACTGAGAAAATATTAAAGTAGTTTCTATACTTTTTTTTTTTTTTTTTTTTTTTTTTTTTGAGATGGAGTCTTGCTCTATCGCCAGGCTAGAGTGCAGTGGCGCGGTCTCTGCTCACTGCATCCTCTAACTCCCTGATTCAAGTGATTCTCCTGCCTCAGCCTCCCAAGTAGCTGCGATTACAGGCATGTGCCACCACGCTCAGCTAATTTTTGTATTTTTAGTACAGACAGGGTTTCATCATGTTGGCCATGATGGTCTCAATCTCCTGACCTCGTGATCCACCCACCTCTGCCTCCCACAGTGCTGGATTACAGGCGTGAGCCACGGTACCCAGCCAAAAGTACATATGTAAGTTACAGACACACTTTAAAAAAATAATTTGGATTCAGCGAAAAGTATTACTTCTCCCTTCCTCCTTTCTTCCATCAATTTGTTTTATCTTCTTCAATCCTGACAACTGCACAATGACTTAAAATAGTTGATTTTCCCAACTATCCTGAATGTCAGTATATGACATGCTATGAGTTTTTATCCCTAACTGCCAATTAACTCCGTCAAAGTAAAGTTTTTAAGAATGAAGATATTAATATTAAATAACCAGGTATAAAATGCTCTTTTCCAACTGGTAACCATAAATGGTACAAAGTACCTATATACAAAGGTAATTCGACTTTTTAAATATGTAACAGATAATAGTTAAGTTTTTAAAATAAAGTTATTACTTTCAATTAGTTAAAAATAAAAATAAAAGTATTACCTTTAGATAGTGGCTCAGGTTTAAATTCCAGGCCTCAAGCATTCTACTAACCCCATAAATGTCCTTTCTTGTCCACTGAAGTTCTTACTTTTGGGGTCACTAAATCATGATAGCTGTAGCTTCATTTATGTGAAAGCTTTGTGTCTTCACAGAATCATTTTCTCTGTAATGAGAAGGTATTTAATGTATATTTTATTTACATAAAGAAAATTATTAGATGTTGTTAAGCAGGTTTTATTTTAAAATAACCATTATCAGCCTGGTGTGGTAGAATCATTAACTGAATAGAACTCAGTTGAATAGAACTAAAGACAAGGACTGACTTTACAGATAATTGCATGTATCTTGGGATAGGTAGCAATCTCTCTGTGTCTGTTTCCTTCTCTAAAATCAGAGATTTAGAATATTTAAATTCTCATATTTTATAACTACCACTGAAACAAATACCTCTAGCAAATTACATTTTTCCTCAATGAAAATATTTAATAGGGCATGTTTTGGAGCCACAAGCAGCTTTAAAATAAAAGCTCCTCTCCCCATGCCCTACCTCCCAAGCCCTAGAATTGACAAGCTTATTTCTTTTTTGTTTTGTTTTTATATTTTTCTTTTTTTGACAAGCTTATTTCTTTCTTTCTTTCTTTCTTTCTTTTTTTTTTTTGAGACGGAGTTTTTGTTTGCTCTTGCTACCCCGGCAACGGTGCGATCTCGGCTCATCGCAACCTCCGCCTCCTGGGTTCAGGCAATTCTCCTGCCTCAGCCTTCTGAGTAGCTGGGATTACAGGCATGCACCACCATGCCCAGCTAATTTTTTGTATTTTTAGTAGAGACGGGGTTTCACCGTGTTGACCAGGATGGTCTTGATCTCCTGACCTCGTGATGCACCCGCCTCAGCCTCCCAAAGTGCTGGGATTACAGGCTTGAGCCACCGCGCCCGGCGACAAGCTTATTTCTTAAGCAAGAAGTATTACAAGTGGATAAAGAGAGCAGAAAGAAAAAAGAAAGAATTAAATATGGAGCCTAAACAGTTAATAATGATTGGATTTCAGAAAATGCACTAAGGCATTACATTTTGCTGGCAAATTGCTTTCTAGAATGTTTTGTTATCACATTTAAAAAGTGGATTTTATCTTATATCAAAAGTAAAGATTGGAAACCATCTGTAAAATTAGCTCAGTGTTTTTATTTATACGGAGAAAGGGCTTTTTATTGCTTTTACACAGTGAATGTATGGTAGAGGGGAAGAGACGATTCAGGTTGTTGTCACTCAGATCTCTTTCAAGGACTATACTTGGGCCATTGCTGTTTTGATCTTGTTCAACAGCAATTCTATCAGTTCAAAATCTTGGAGGTAATTTCTTAGGTGTAATTTACATTTTTTAAAAATGATCTTAACATCCAATCATGTTGTTTAGTATCCCACCCAGACTTCAGTGTATTAAAATATTATCTGTTAAAACCAATAATCTGATAATAAATCACCTCACAGGATAATTAAAGAGAAAGCAGCTTGAAGTTGAGTTTCTTTTAATTCCAGGTACCTTGGTTAATGCTACAAGACGAAATTGAGTTTCTTTTAATTCTAGGCACCTTGGTTAATGGTGTATCTTGTAAAAGATCTTTAAATCTATTCATTATCAGCAACAGATCTTTAAAAAATATTGCTCAAAAGTACTCTAGAAAATAAAATTTACTTCATCTTTTAGAGGTAGGTAAATGACATAATGTTCCTATTATGTACAAAATTACTATGAATCAGTGTCAAAATGAAATCAAGACTATTTCACAAATATTTTAATAGGATTTCTTTTTTAAGGATAAGTTTTTACAGTTATATGTTAAATATCAAAATTTTAAATGTATACAAATATATAAACAATAACCTATACTAATTTTTAAATTTTCTGCTGGGCGCAGTGGCTTATGTCTGTAATCCCAGGACTTTGAGAAGCCAAGGTAGGCAGATCACTTAAGGTCAGGAGTTTGAGGCCAGCCTGGCCAACATAGTGAAACTCCATCTCTACTAAAAATACCAAACAAAACCAAAAATCAGCTGGGTGTGGTGGCAGAAGCCTGTAATTCCAGCTTTTGGGGAGGCTAAGGCAGGACAATCACTTGAAACTGGGAGGCGGAGGCTGGAGTGAGACAAGATCATGCCACTGCACTCCATGCTGGGCAACAGAGCTAGACTTCATCTCAAAGAAAAAAAAAACACTTTTTAATTTTCAGGGAAAAAAAAGCTAAGGCTGGTGTTCACAATGTCTATTTATGGTTTGCTCCTTCTATAAGTTTCCCTGTAATCCATTTCTACCCGTTTTTTACTCTGCACAAACAAACGTCTTTTTACTTCTTTGCTCTGAGAGTTGTTGTGTTTTTTTTATACAGAGTTTCATTGAAGATTAATTTTTGAAGGAAAAAAAAGAAAAAAAAAAAAAGAGAGATGGAGTTGCGCTCTTTTGCCCAGGCTGTAGTGAAGCGGCACAATCTCAGCTCACTGCAATCTCCACGTCCCGAGTTCAAGCGATTCTCCTGCCTCAGTCTCCCATGTAGCTGGGATTATAGATGCCTGCCATCACGCCCTGCTAATTTTTGTATTTTTAGTAGAGACAGGGGTTCACCATGCTGGCCAGGCTGGTCTGAAACTCCTGACCTCAGGTGATCCACCTGCCTCAACTTCCCAAAGTGTTGGGATTAGGCCACTCCTTGAGAGCTTTAAAATTCATTTAATCCTTACAGTGACTCTGAGGTAGATCTTTTTATCTGTTTATAGATAAGAAAACTGAAACTGTCAAGAAACTTGCTTAAGATCACAGAGTACCTTATTAGGTTCAGATTCAAAACCAAACTGGAAAACACACACACACACACACACACACACAAACCAATTAGGACTCCAAAGCCCTAATACATAATCTTTGTATGATAACACACTATGCCATTATATACAGAAAACAAGAAACTTTAATTAAGAGAAAGGTATTTTCCAAACTGTGGTTCTCCAGATAACAATGTGTCTCCACGAGGACCATATAAAAAATAAATCCCATAGAAAATGATTACCAACCAAAAACTTGCAGTTCATGTTCCAACTAAAGAAAAACACTCAAAAGTAAAAGCATCAGCTATCCTAGGTACTGCTTGGAGGCAACATCAAACATAACACAGAAGTTGTTGAAAAAAATCGTAAAACACAATGCTGGGTAGTTATTTTAAATGCTTATTTAACTAGTCTTTCCTTAACTGAAGGTCTCTGTCAAATGAAAAATGTTATTTCAGTCAAATCAGGATTTGTTTTGCAAACGGAAAGCCTTATCTATTAAGCATATACTCAGGTTCTTTATTTTCCTGGTAATTTTCAATTCAAATTAAGATCAAACTATATTGACTCTATCAGGTACTGTATATTTTTTGATAAATTTCAAATTAATGATAAAAATGTATTAACCTGCTGCTCAATTATACACTTATAAACATATTTTAACCACTGACATATTATCAATAAATACACATTAAATGGCAAGACTTCATTAAGAAAGTGTTTCAAGCCTTGGGTGCCCACGACTTATTTAATGTAACGTGTAAATTCTAACCACTACAATAGCTACATGGTTAAACGACCACCATTTCCATTAGCAAGGCCAGTCCTAATAAGTGATTTCCTGGGACTTCAGCACAGAGGTTTTCTAATTTCATTCCTCCACTCAATGTGCCTATTCTCCCTTATCTGTTCACGCTGGCAAAGCTTCTAGTTAAACTGGAATTGGTAACTATTACAATGATAATAAACATATACTTAGTGCTTCCTATGCCGCAGTTAATTCTCACAGTTGATAAAAGTGTGGCACAGAAAAGTTAAGTAGCAGAGGCAGGATTTGAACCCAGGAATTCTGGTTCCAGGGTCGACATTACATCTACAAAGGCGAGTAACCTGAAAAGATTCCTACTTCTACTGTCATTGCTCTCTAATAAATTTTTTTTCTCTTCCAATTGGTTTAAATCTCTTTCTCTATTTAAATATCAGGCGTCTACCTAACTGTAGGACATCTTTAAAGAACCTAACAAAGGAAAGCTTTAGTTTTCTTCACCTGCACACATACCGCTCTGCCCACAAATTTGGCAATCCAGTTCTGCCTGATTCTAAACTGCTTGTCTCTTGAAGCGATTGCCTTAAAAAGTGACTTTGGAATCTGGATAGTCATCTCCAACCATCCTCCCTCAGAAAAACAACTATATTAGAGTAATTCTTGGGACCACTTAGAACAAGACATAGGCCTTTGGGTAACTGCAAGACAAAAAAGGAAAAAAGTGGAGGGTGGTAGGAGGGGGAGAAGGTGTGGGAGAATGATTTTCCCCTTCTAAACATAAAGTATAAAAGGGCTCAGAAAGGGGGAAAAGAATCCTAAAAAGCAAGGTGCGGGACTGAGTGAGGGACCACACACTGGGCGCTCCGCCCAAGGGGTCCGGCATCCTTCTCCGAGGCGATGGCGCGTCCTCGGGCTCAGCATCCCTTAAGACACCTAACCTCCTTCTCCAGCCTGCCCCTCTAGGGCCCGGGAGCCCCGTGCCGGGTCGGTGGTCGGAGGCCCTGCCATTTAGGACCCGGAAAAGGCCCCCAAGCTCCCAGCGGAATGCGCTGCCAGAGGCCGGGTGCGGCTGGGGGCGGGGGCCGGCAGTTGCTCGGAGCTCCGGCGGGTCAGGAGGTGACGGGAGGAGGAGGAGGCAGGAGGAAGAAAGGTGGGGGTTGGGAGGTAGCGTCCGGTTGGTCTGCGCAGACAGCGCTGCTAAACCTCCGACTCCCCTAGTCCTGCCGCCGCCGATAGCCCCGCAAGGCGAGGAGGGAAGTCCGCCGGAGCAGAAGGAAGAAAATTCAAAACGAGTCTACTCAACCTCGTCTTGGCTCCGAGGCCCCGCCATGGAGACCAGCATAATGCGCAGGCGCATCCCACCGAGCGCGCGCAGCGCAGTCCCACGAGATTAGGACCACTATCGGCCACCGTCGCTCGTCTCCTCTCTCATCCGTTCTTTTTTTCGTATTTCCGCCTCTCGCCTCCCTGTAAAACCCGCGGTTGGAGGCGCGACAGGAAAAATCTCTGCAGAGTGAGACTCTGGTTGGGAATATGTATGAGAAAAAAAACGGACAAGGCGTTAGGCAAAGCTGAAGACAGAGAAAATTTGGTATCTGGCTGGAGTCTGGAGGATTTAATGCAAATTAAGATACCTCTTGGGCAGCATAGCGAAAAACTACAATTCCCAGTGGTCACAGCGTTTGAGAAGCGACGCTTTCTGAGACTTGTAACTAGGACCTGCGTTTGAACTATCCAGGCTCAGGACAGCCTCTTGAAATAAAAAATTATTCATAAAGCGGATTTGAGTGGGATCTTCCTGTATCTTCCTAATCGATAACAGGCCCACTTGTATGGGAAGAATTCTAATAATGATTAAAGGAACATACTACCTTTAAAGCTATGCTTTTCTAATCGATGATTCCTAAATCTAGGAGTAGGTAGTCGATGTTTGTGGTCTGGGCGTCTGTAGAAGGGCGGCCTCGTGTTTTCTGCGGAGGAGACCCGAGGAGAGAAACCAGAGTCCAGGCTTAGACTGCAGCTCCTCGCTTACCTGTGCAGTCTAATTTTGAGCTGCCTCCTTGTAGTTCTAAAAGACACGAGCTCCCTGTTGTGAGTCTACTAACCTGTACGTCGTACGTTTCCGTGGGCAAGTCTTGTGTGTACTCCTCGCCATGGCTCAACTGCAAACACGCTTTTACACTGATAACAAGAAGTAAGTAAGCGTTTCACCCTTCGCTCCCTTCCCCAGGGTCTTTTCTAACCACTCCTTTGGTATGACCTTGTGGATCCCTAGTTGTTCCTGCTGTCACCTTTTTTCTGAGATTACCTCCTTTCTAACCAGCTTCACAGGTTCTCTGTAATTTAAATTGTGAGTGTGGAGGAGACTGAAGGGCTTCAGGTTTACTTTCTGAATGAAACATTCTATATGTGTAATTTAACAACGAGCAGTGAGTGGCCTTGTCGTTATAGGGTGTCTGCTGGTGGCGGTTCACGGTTTTTGAAAACACATTTTCTTTCTTTCTCTTTTTTAATAGGTGATAGAAGATGCTCTTCTAAACCAGGCTAGAAAGTGGAGTTCTGAATATGGGGTTATGGTAGAATTGGTTCTTGATAAGTGTGAAGTCAATTTAGTTACTGATTTATTTTTCTTGATACACGTATATAATATACATTATATGCTTTATCATGTATTTATATATGTCATATTTACTAACATAAATGTAAACATGTTTACCATTTATATGTATCTATGTATAGGATATATAAACATTTTAACAGTGGTCTCAAGGTCTGTTGGCACTCATTCGAAAACTAATTATATGCTGTCTTGTGGTATATATTGCGTTATTAGTTTTCTTTGTGTTTGCCTGGCCTTTTCCAACTATATTGGAAGCCTCTTGAGGGCAGGGGCTTTATTTATTTATTTATTTATTTATTTTTATTTATTTTTATTTTTATTTTTTTGAGACGGAGTTTCGCTCTTGTTACCCAGGCTGGAGTGCAATGGCGCAATCTCGGCTCACCGCAACCTCCGCCTCCTGGGTTCAGTCAATTCTCCTGCCTCAGCCTCCTGAGTAGCTGGGATTATAGGCACACGCCACCATGCCCAGCTAATTTTTTGTATTTTTAGTAGAGACGGGGTTTCACCATGTTGACCAGGTTGGTCTCGATCTCTCGACCTCGTGATCCACCCGCCTCGGCCTCCCAAAGTGCTGGGATTACAGGCTTGAGCCACCGCACCCGGCCATTTTGTTTGTACTTTTATGAGGAGAGCTAGTAAATCATCTTCTCTCCTCTTGTATTGTTGCTTACAGTATACATAAATTGTATTGTCAATGTACATGAGTATATATACTTAGGTAGCCTTAATACTTCTCAAGGAATGCGGTGATGCGTTAGCATAACCACTGCGTTTTTTAATTGAAAGGATTTTTTGTTTTTCTTAAAATAAAAAATTTTTTAATTTTTTTTTGTTCGTTTTGGTACTTTTTTAGAGACAGTCTCACTCTGTCACCCAGGCTGGACTGCAGTGATGCATTCATTGTTGGCTAACTGCAACCCCTGCCTCCTGGGCTTCAACAGTTTTCCCACCGCAGCCTCCAGAGTTGCTGGAATTACAGGCATGTGCCACCAAGCCTGGCTAATTTTTGTATTTTTAGTAGAGACAGGATTTTGCCTTGTTGGCCATGCTGGTCTCGAACTCCTGGCCTCAAGTGATCCGCCCACCTAGGTCTCCCAAAGTCCTAGGATTACAGACATGAGACACTGTGTCTAGCTTTGAGATAATTGTTGATTTATATGAAATTGTAGGAGATAATGGGCTGCTGTGTTTTAACCCCTGAAATGAGTGGATACATGCCATATGTGTATGTTTGAATTTAGGTCCTCCAAAAGGTAAAAAAAAAAAAAAAAAAAAAAAATGTAGAAATTAAAATTCTTGGCTGGATGCTGTGGCTCACTTCTGTAATCCAGCAGCTTGGGAGGCCAAGGAGGGCAAATCACTTACCTCGGGATTTCAAGACCAGCCTGAGCAACATCGTGAAACCCAGTCTCTACCAAAAATACAAAAAATTAGCCGGGGATGGTGGTGCTCACCTGTGGTCCCAGCTACTTGGGAAGCTGATGTGGAAGGATTGCTTGAGCCTGAGAGGCAGAGGTTGCAGTGAGCCAGGATCAGTGCAACTGCACATCAGCCTGGGGAACATAGTGAGACCCTATCTCAAATAAATAAATAAATAAAATTCTTGCTTTTTCTTTTCACTTAATATTTTGGTCAGTAAAATGGGGGAGGGGGACTAATATAACTGTCACACACACACACACAAGAATATACATATATGTGAATTATATACATAAATATATAGCCATAGCCTTATTGCTATAAGTATTGTTTAAGGATCATCAGCACTGTATTTGCAGAGTTGTGCAGACATCACCACTGTCAATTTTAGAACATTGTCATCATCCTTTAGCTATTTATTAAATAACACCCCCAGCCCTATTGATCTGCTTTCTATCTCTGTAGCTTTATCTCTTCTGGACATTTTGTATAAATGGAATTATATAATGTGGTCTTTTGTGAGTGGCTTCTTTCACGTAGTATGATTTTTTTTAAAAAAAATTGATTAATTATGTCATAGTATCTATTAGCACCTCATTCCTTTTTATGGCCAAATAATAAGCCGTGAATGGATATACCATATTTTTTCATTCATCAGTTGGTGGACATTTAGGTTGTTTCTACCTTTTAGCTATTACGAATAGTTTTGTGAACATTCATGTATAAGTTTTTGTGTGGATGCATGTTTTCATTTTTCTTGCATATATACTTAGAAGTGGAGTTTTCGGGTCAGATATAATTCCGTGTTTGACTTTTTGAGGAACTGCCAGAATGTTTTCCAAAGCAACTGCACCGTTTTATATTACTGCCAGCAATAATCAGGGTTCCGATTGCTCCATATTTTCACTGACAATTGTTATTATCTGTCTTTTTAATTATAGTGCCCTAGTGGGTGTGAAATAATTTTCATTGTGTTTGATAGCATTTCCAAGATAATGATGAGCATTTTCATGTCCCTATTGGCCATTTTAAAAATTGCATTGTCAAAAATGAAAAAAAAAAAAAAAGAAAAAAAATTGCTTTGTCTTTTTATTATTGAGTTGTAAGTGTTCTTACTGTAGTCCAGATACGAGTTCCTTATTAGATAGATGATTTGCAAATATTTTCTCACAGTCTCTTATGAGTCTCCTAACCTGCCCCTGTAATGTGTTCCTCTAATTTAGTCTCCATTGTGCAGCCAAAAAGATCTAACTAAAATCTGTTATTTCTATTTGCACTGCTATAATAGTTCTTCATTGCCCACAAAAAAGAAGTAAAAATGATTTCACATGATATATACAGCACTCCATGTACATCTCTTTAGCCTTTGGTAACTTTAGAGCAAAATTGGACTTTCTAGAATAGGTTGGGTGGGCAGTTTAACAACTCCCAGCTATTGTTTTGATGTTCTTGCTGCTTTCCTGCACACTGTTTCTTCCATGCTATCCTTCCCTCACCTGGCAAAAAGTCACTTTTCTTTTGAGACAGGGTCTTGGTGTGTCACCCAGGCTGGAGTGCAGTGCAGTGGTGTGATCTCAGCTCACTGTAGCCTTGACCTCCTGGGCTCAGGCAGTCCTCCCACCTCAGCCTCCCAAGTAGCTGGGACTACGGGCACATGCCACCACACCTGGTTAATCACGTTTCTAATGTGGCTTAACAGTTATCTTTTTTGTGCATCCTTTCAGGCCCTGCTCTCCTGCCCTCCTTTTCTCTGGTTAAAATGACCTATGATGTCTTTGTTCTCTTTGTACATGTTGCCTAATGACATTGTTCTTACATAACTTCGTTATATTTGATTACTAGACTTTAACCTCTTCTGAGAACAGAGACCATGTTTTCATTTATTTTTGTTTACAACGTGTAACAAAATGTCTGGCATGTAGCAGGTACCTCATAAATGTATGTCAAATTCATAAAAGCACAGTTGTTCAAGTATCTGTAGACTTGATCTTGACATATCATTTCCTTTTTATAGATATGCCATAGATGATGTTCCCTTCTCAATACCTGCGACCTCTGAAATTGCTGACCTTAGTAACATCATCAACAAATTACTAAAGGACAAAAATGGTAGGTATATATGCTTAGAGGGCATAGTGCCACTAATTACTCTAAAATGCATTACGTTTTTAGTTCCTTTTTTTGGCCTAATGAAACTGTATGAATTTTGTTATGGTAAAATGTGTAACTTACAAAGTTCAGGTTCTTCTGCTGGATGATACTGTAAAGACTGCTTTGAAAGAAAAGTTTTCAGAAAAAAAGTTTCTGTTTAATCTGTTTTTAAGGTAATGTGGAAATATGGTGGTTGTAGTTAAGGAATAAAGATTTTGATA